ACGTTCTGTGGCTTTAGCTTTTCCATATCATTGCTAAGTCACCTCTAAAAGCCCAGTGATAGAGCAGCAGCTCTGAGTGAAGAAGCCAGATGAGAGCACAAGGCCCCAAGTTCATGCATACACACATACCTACCTACATACATACAAGCAAGCTGTCCCTGTCCCCACAGCCCCCACTGTCCCTCTGGGATGTGGTCAGATGGAAGGACCACTACCCTCAGCCTCTGTCTCAGCGATTCAGGCCTGTATCTGGTTCTGGCTGTGGCCCCATGGCCCCTTCCCGGTGGCTGGGAGGACCCCTCCAGGTCCCCACCCAGAGCCTCACCTATCACATCCTCCTCTGAGTCTTCAAAGGTGATCCTGGTGTTGTATTTCTCCTTCACAGTGGACAACTCCAGAGCATCCTTCACCTTTAGGTCGGCCTGCATGCAGGCCCACACTCTTGTCAGCCTGGAGGGGACGTGGGGGCTCCAGGCCCTCCCTCAACCCAGGGCTACCTCATGCGTCATGGTTTTCATTTTCAGCTTGTCAGCCAGGTACGCCAGCTTCCCCTCACAGTACTCCAGCTTGCTGTACACATCCAGTGGGTCAGAGAGCACCACTTCCTTCTGCAGGCCAGAGGAAGGGCTCATCTCCGCTCGGGCCACACTAAGGGACCCTGGGTGGTAGCTCCTCTTCAGGGCTGGTACCTGGTGACTTGGCAGAGTGATGCCAATGAGCCGCATGTAGAGGTTGTCGATTCCCACCTGGATCGTCAGTAGCAGCTGTTGGCTCTTGGTCAGGTTTCTGGTGGCTAGCTGGAGCCTAGCTTCCTCCTCTTCCAGCTTGTTCTTCATCTTCTTCTCAACGGACTTAAAGCTGTGGAGAGCAAGGGTCACAGTGCCCAGGCCCAAGGAGGGTGCCAAGGCCTGGCTCTGAGCTGGGTCCCGAGCTTGGGAGCTCAGAGCTGACACACGGGCCTAGAGCTCCTCTGCAGACACACAGGCTGACCGGCCATGAAGAGGCTGCAGCTCCCTGCTGACATCTGCGGGATGGACAGCAGCCCTTGGAGCCGTGTACCTGGTGAAGCCGGGTTTCTGGTGGAATTTAAGCAGCGCCTGCTCGAGCTCCAGCTTCTTCATCAGGGCGTCCAGCTGTGCCCGTCGCGCCTCATAGTCGTCCATCTGTAGCTCCAGGTTCTCTTCAGTGTTCTTCTGAGCCAGGAAGCGGCCGGCAATGTCCTGACCAGTCCGGGCAGAGAGAAGCAGGTGCGGGCCTGAAAGGTGGCCAGGGCTCCGCAGCCCTGGTTTCTCTTGGGTGGTATACGGTGGCTAGTGCCAGTTCTCTGGGCTCAGTCACGATGTTGACCAGTGGTGGGCAGCGAGGGCTGTGAGGAGCCGGTTACAAGGGTCGGGCCTGAGCCGTGGCACACACCTCAAGACAGGCAGAGAGTGAGACCCTCACCTGTGGTGAGGAGACCACATGGCACCTTGAGCTGCTCTGTCTGATCATGGACAGGCTCACGTCAGGGCGAGGGACGGGAGCTGGAGGCCCCCAGACGATCAGCTGCCAGGATTACACTAAGCGGGCTGGCCGGAAGCAGCTGTTTATTCGGCTCTTTGAGGGTGGGAAGGGAAGCAGAGCTGGAGGTGAAGGCTACGCTCTGACCATTTGGGTGTCTAGCTCTTGGCAAGCTCCACGGAGGACGGGGACAGGGCTGGGATGTGTCAGCTATATCCTGGGTGCGTTTCCTACTCTAGGCCGTGAGGCCTGGGAGCCCCACGTCCGAGGACATGCGAGGGGGCTAAGCCTTCCTTGTCCTTTCCAGAGGGCCTACAGGCCCCGGATAGGCCCTTCACGCCCTGGGAAGGCCAAGCAGCCTTACCCAGATTTGGGAGCACTGCACAGTGGACTTGACCTTCTCCACCAGGGCTGTCACTTCCGTCTGGTACTCCACATCCACTGGAGATGACTCTCTCTTCTTCACTGGGCACAGCAGAAAGAGAAGGGCCGTGGGCATGCGGTGACGGCCATCAGAAATCTCTGTGTGTGCCAAGTCCCTAGGAAGATACCCAAGATGCTGGAGCTCCTCAGAGCTCTCTGGACCTGGACTTGTCCGCCTCAGCAGGACCTGGCGTGGGCACCCCAACACGGTCCAGGCAGCTGAGGACCCAGCTAGTATGGTACTGTGTAGCTCTGAGAAGTCATTGGGTAGCTGAGCCCTGGGGCAGCATCTCGGTGTCCCCATTAGGAGCAGCTGGGGAGAGGCGGGGGCCGTGTGTGTCTCTTACCTTGGTGACCACAGGTTATACCTGGCCTCATGGTGGCCTGCCTGGGTGGTCAGCCAGAGCTAGCCTCTGTGGAGACCCTGACCAGGGCAGGGAGCTGAGACTCACCCCTCTGGGTCTCAGCGTTTATTATGTTGGATGAGAAGTCCAAGTCTCTGTGGCCCTGATGGGAGAGAGAGGAGCAGGCACAGTGAGCCGAGCTGCGGGAGCAGGCTGTGCCCCAAGCACAGGGTCCCCGGGCTCTGCCCTGAGACACACCCGGCGGTACTTCTCGCTGGCCTCCTTGTTGTGGATCTTGTCATTGAGCTTCTTCTGCTGGTTGAGCCGGTTCTCGCGGGCCCGGCGCTCCTCGATAAAGGTCACCTCCTTTTGTCTCATGTTCCTCTGGGGACACAGGGATGCTGGGGGGGTGCTGTCTCACCAAGGCAGTGCTCTGTCCGTCTTTGTTCTGCAGGGCTTCTTGCCATGTTTCTCTTCCTACCATCTCGTGCACGCTGGCTGGCTCCTGCTTTCCTCTTTGGGACCCTCGGCTGGCACTCCTGCCTAATGACTGTTCTCTCCAGCTCAGTTCCCTCAGGCCTCCAGTCCTTTGCCCCCAGCCGCCTCCTGGCCTACATCAGAACCCATTCAAGTAGACTGACATGTCTAGATGTGAATTTATTATTCCCACTCCCTCCCTCCCCCTCCCCCCGCAAGAAACCCCAAACCCTGGCCTCTTTAAGTGCATCCTGCTTTGGTGGCTAAAACCAAAATCAATGCTTCTGCATCTTAGACACAGCTTTCTCCCTCTCTAGCTCCAGCACTAGAGATCACTGGAGTGACCTTCACTGCTCCTCCGGCCACTTCTACTCCATGACCAGCCTGCCGCCGGGGCCAGCATTTCTTCCCTAGCACCTGCTAGTATGTGCAGTCTGAGTGCAGCCTTTGGAAGTGTGGATCTTACCATGTGTCCCTTGCCTGTCTGAGGCCCCAGGCCACCACCAACGCAGAGGCTGTTGCTCCCTGTGCCGCAGCCTCCTCACAGCTGCAGGCCTTGGCTTTTCTGAACCTCTCCTCTTGAGTTCTGGCTATCCTTGCTGGGCCACTACTCCCCCCCTGCTGTGTGTGTGTGCATGCCAGTACTGAAGCTTGAACTCAGGGCCTAGGCGCTGTCCATTAGTTTTTTCAATCAAGGCTGGTGCTCTACCACTTGTGCCACAGCTACACCTCTGGCATTTTGCTGGTTAACTGGAGATAAGAGTTTCATTGACTTTCCTACCTGGACTGGCTCTGTACTGTGACCCTGAGATTTCGGCCTCTGGGGTAGCTGGGATTCCAGCTGCTGCAGACCACTCAAACACTGCCTTCTAGGAAAGCTGCCCTGGACCTTCTTGAGTAGGGAGGTCAGCACCCTGGACAGCCCCCAAACACCCATACTCCGCTATGTGGCATCTGCCTCACACCACCCACGTTGGGAGGACAGTGTATGCACCCACCCCGTCCTTGCTGTCTCCTCAGAGCCTTAAAGGAGTCTTGGCATAGCCTGGGGTAATAGGTAAACCCAGTCCCGGCTGCATCCACTTCATGGATTCTCGGTCCAAAGGGACTCCTCTGACCAGTGAGTGGACAGAGCAGCCAACAGGGACAATTGCTGGGTTCTTCCTGGGCTGCAGATGGTGTGGGCTGGGGGTGTCCTGGGGGGCCCTGTGCCGGTCAGGTTCAAGGGGGCAGAAGGTCCCCCGTCCTGGGCGCTGAGCTCACCTTCACCTCATCTGTAATCATCATGGCGTCCTGGGACATGACCATCATGTCTGACAGTTCTGAGCAGTAGTCAGCCACCAGGTTCTGCAGCTTGTCCAACTCCTTGGGGTACACTGCCAGCACCTGTGAGAGCCAGCAGGCAGTGGGCACGAGGGCCACAGAGATGGGGTGCCATTGCGCTCCGGGCTGGCTTCCCTGATCCCACGCAGCAGCCATACACAGAGGGCCAGTTCATGTGGACCAGGGACACTCAGTGTCCAGCCCCGCAGCACAGAGGCACATTTACCCATGCAAGCATTCATTCATTCATTTGCTGGCCTGAGGCCTTGAACTCAGGGTTTCCTGGTCTTGCTTGGCTTTTTCCTCTCACGGTTGATGCTCTACTATTTGACTCCAGTGCCAGGTAACTGGAGGCAGAATCTTGCAGACTTTTCTGCTCAGACTGGCTTTGAAGCATTATTCTCAGATCTCAGCCTTTGAGTAACTAGAATTATAGACGTGAATCATTGGTGCTAGTTTTAACTCTTTTTTTTTTTTTTTGGTGCCAGTACTGAGGCTTACACTCAAGGTTTCTTGCTCACAAAGTTGGTGTTCTACCACTTCAGCCTGGCATTTTGCAGGTTAATTAGATATGGAGTCCTGAAGACTTTTTTGCTCAGGTTGGCTTTGAACTCTAGGTCTCAGTCTGAGCAGTAAGGATTACAGGCACGAACCACTAGCACCCAGCACAGAGGTACTTTAAGATAGAACATAGCCAGATTCTGGTGGTTCACGCCTGTTATCCTAACTACTCAAGAGGTTGAGATCTGAGGATCATGGTTCAAAGTCATCCTGGGCAGGAAAGTCCATGAGACTCATTTTTTTTCTTTGTTGGTTGTGGGGCTTAAACTCTGGACCTGGGCACTGTCCCTCAGCTCTTCAGTTTAAGGCTAGCATTCTACCGCTTGAGCCACAGTGCCACTTCTGGTTTTCTAGTGGTTATTTGGAGATAAGAGTCTCATGGACTTTCCTGCCTGGGTTGACTTTGAACCGTGATCCTCAGATCTCAGCCTCTTGAGTAGCTAGGATTACAGGCGTGAGCCACCAGTGCCTGGCTCTTGAGACTCTTATCTCCAATTAACTACTCAGAAAACTGGAAGTGGTGCTTGTGGCTCAAGTGGTAGAGGGCTAGGCCTTGAGCTGGAGAGCTGAGGGACAGCACCCACGCCCAGAGTTCAAGCCCCATGACTAACCAAAAAAAAAAAAAAAAAAAAGATAGAACCTGATGGGCTGAGGGTCTCTCTAGCATGTATGAGGCCCGGAGTTCAAACTCTGAGTAAACCCTGGCCTACTCAGCGGATGTGCTGAGTTCAGTCTACCTGCAGGAAAGGCTAACGCTGAAGCCCAGTGGGGCTTGCTGGTTCTGAGGTGGAGGAGGGGCTCAAAACCTGAGCCTGGAGTCCTTGAGGCCGTGCTCAAGGCCACAGCCAAGTCTCACTTTACTTTGGGAAAGTTAATTCCTGATCTAAACAGTTGATAGCACAGCTCTTCTGCAAGGTTGCTATGGGGACCGAGGGAGAATGTAAAATGGCATGTTTCCTTCAGGGCCAGAGGCAGCAATATCCAGGGGATTACTATTTGAATCTTTAACTAAGTTATTAGTAATTTGAATATTTGCCTTTTTGGGGGGGGAATATGGATGAACATGGTAATTTTTATTTCTTGTTCTTTTTTTTCTTTTCCCTTTCTTTTTTTTGGTTAGTCTTGGGGCTTTAATTCTGGGCCTGAGCGCTGTCCCTAATCATTTTGTGCTCAAGGCTAAGGCTCTACCAGTTGTTTAATTAGAGTTAAGAGTCTCAGCTTGCTGCTGGTGGCTCACACCTGTAATCCTAGCTACTCAGGAGGCTGAGATATGAGGATCGCAGTTCAAAGCCAGCCCAGGCAGGAAAGTTTGTGAGAATCTTATCTCCAATAAACCTCTAGAAAACTGGAAGTGGTGCTGTGGCTCAAGCTGTAGAGCGCTCGCCTTGAGCTGAAGAGCACAAGGACAACACCCAGGCCCAGAGTTCAAGTCCTATGACCGACCAAAAAAAAAAAAAAGCACCCAGCTGAAGAAGGGAAAATGGGCAGGGTCTTTTGGTAAGGAGGCCAGGCAAGAAGCAAAGTGGAAGCGTGAAGCTGAGAGCCCCAGGGCAGGGCCAGGAAACAGGACCCACGCAGGAAAGAGTTGCATTACTTGTCCCCCCCCCAGCTCCTCCTGCTAAGCCGTTCCGTCCTGCATGCTGCCCTTTCTCAAGGCAGGGGTGTCTGGGGTGACGCTGTCCATCTCCGGACCCTCAGCTCCCAAGGCTTCCATTTCAGTGTCTCTCCGGCCACCCTTCAGCTCCTCCCCATCTGCTCTCCACTGTGGGTGTCTGAGGGCTTGCCACACTGTAACTCATGGCTCTTAGGAGCTTCTCCTCATGTCCTGTGCAGAGAACAGGGAGGCCAGGTGGGCAGCAGGCAGCAAGCTGTGGCCAGCAGGAGGGCTGGAAGGTGAGAAGGACTTGCCCTGTAGCATGTTAGGGGACGTTTGGCCACTTCTGACCCTCAGAGGCCCTGTGCTTAGCCGTGTTGCGGCTGGGTTTTGAGACAGAGCCTTACTGTGTAGCTAAGCTGGCCTTAAACTCACTGTCTTCCACTCTTAGCCTTCTGAGTGCTGAGATTACAAGCATGTGCTTATCACGTCCAGCCTTAAGTATGAGTAATTCTGATAGACCCTACAACATGCTTTTTGGAACAGCAAAAATAAGTCTGTATAAGAATGTTTTACAACTTTAGGGTCCTGCTTTGCTGGCAGCCTGGAAGATGGCTGCGGGCTTGGGGCAGCCCTACCCAAGTCTTCTGCCCCCACCGAAAGCTAAGCCTGTAACCTGCCCCTGTTAGCCCGAGGTGAGTAACTCACCCTCTTCAGGTGCTCCAGCAGGTTGAGGTACAGCTGGTGGATGTTGTGGCTGGTAGTAATCTTGATGACTGTCTTTTCAATGTTGTTCTCTAGCTGACGGATGACCTGGGGTGGGCTGAAGACTCATTTAGAGTGTTTGGGGAGCAGGCCCAGGGCCTGGAGAGCTCAGATCCTGCCCAGAGGGCATGGGGATCTGGGCTTTCTTCCAAGAGGGCTAATTTTTTTTTTTTTTTTTTTTGGTGTCAGGCCTGAGGCTTGAACTCTGGGCCTAGACACTGTCCCTGAGCTTTTTTTGCTCAAGGCTAGAGCTCTTTCACTTGAGCTGCAGCTCCACGTCTAGCTTTTTTAAATGATTACTTGGAGATAAAAGTCTAAGGGATTTTCCTGCCTGGGCTGGCTTTGAATCATGAACCATGATTCTCAGATCTCAGCCTCCTGAGTAGCTAGGATTATAGATTTGAGCCGCAGGCACCAGTTTAAATGATTAAGTAGTTGTTCAAAGGATTCAATTCAACCAGTCAATTTATGAGTAGGATGCACTCCTTCCCAAGAACTCTGGCTTCCCAAATCTTGCTTCTCTGACGGGGCTCTACTCCTCCAATGGGACCAAGCACAGCTCTTGCATAGCCCCGCCCCCGCACTGGAGCCCCGCCCACCGGGCCCCGGCCAGGCCCGCCCCGGCCAGGCCCCGCCCCGGCCAGGCCCCCACCCCCACCCCCGGGCCGGACCCACGCACTTGCAGCTGCCGCTGCTCTTCCCGCGTGGATTCCGACTGGCTCCGCAGCTGATCCAGCTCCAGCTTCAGGCCCTCCAGCTTCTGCCCGCGCCGCCGCACCAGGTGGATCAGCTCGTTGTGCGTGTTCACGCGGTCGAAGATGCACTTGCGCAGCTTGTCCTGCGCCCCCTGGGTCCGGGAGAGATCCGGGGTAGGCGAGCGCGGGGTGGCCGGAGAGCCCCGTACCCCGGGCGGCCGCCCGGGCCCGCCCGCCCCTCACCTCCATCGTGCCGTTCCTGTGCGCCAGCCACAGGGCCGGGTCCTTGGCGCAGACCTTGGAGATGGCGCGCTGGTCGAACTGCGGGGCGACCGGGCGGCTGAGCGCTCCGCGGGCCCTGGAGGACCCCGGCCGCCGCCCTGCGGGAGCCTCCGCCGGCCTCCGGGTCCTGCGCTCCCCGGACGAAGAGCCAGCTGCCAGGCTGGGAGGCGGCCGGCCCCCCGGGGCCAGGCACTCCGGGTGGCGGGCTGCGGGTGGCGGGGCGCGGCCGCGCGTGGCGGGGCGCGGGTCGGGGTCGCGCGTGGCGGGGCGCGGGTCGGGGTCGCGCGTGGCGGGGCGCGGGTCGGGGTCGCGCGGGTCGAGGTTGCGCGTGGCGGGGCGCGGGTCGGGGTCGCGCGTGGCGGGGCGCGGGTCAGGGTCGCGCGTGGCAGGGCGCGGGTGGGGTCGCGCGTGGCAGGGCGCGGGTGGGGTCGCGCGTGGCGGGGCGCGGGTCAGGTCGCGCGTGGCGGGGCGCGGGTCGGGGTCGCGCGTGGCGGGGCGCGGCCGCGCGTGGCGGGGCGCGGGTCGGGGTCGCGCGGGTCGAGGTCGCGCGTGGCAGGGCGCGGGTCGAGGTCGCGCGTGGCGGGGCGCGGGTCGGGGTCGCGCGTGGCGGGGCGCGGGTCGGGGTCGCGCGCGGCCGTGCGTGGCGGGTCAGGGTTGCGCGTGGCGGGGCGCGGGTCGGGGTCGCGCGTGGCCGGGCGCGGGCCGGGGTCGCCCGTGGCCGGGCACCCGCCCCACCTCGCCCGGGGAGCCGTCTGTGTGAGGCCCAGCCCCGCACCTTGGCGGTGAAGGCCCTGTCCTGGGCGCTTTCCCGGATGTGGTCGCGCAGCAGGGCCATAGCGGTCTTGTTCTGCGCCAGCTTCTCCTTCATCCCTTGGATCTGGAGCGTCCGGCATTGCTCTGGGGGTGGCCGCGGGAAGAGGGGCCAGCTGAGGGCCAGGCCCGGGCGAGAGGCCGAATGCGGGGGGACGCCGCGCGCTGGTGCCCGGGCTCCCCCCGCGGGGCGCGGGCTGCCCCGCTCAGGCCATCCGCCGAGGCCAGGGCCAGCAGGGCACCTTCGTCTCTTCCAGAGGCCGCCTGCTTCCCTTCCGCTCCCTCAGCCGCTACTGTGTCTGTGAGCATAGATCTCCCTGAAGCCCCCTCCCTCCCCCATCTCCCCTCCTGTCGTGCGTGGGAGGGGGAGGGGGGGGCAGTGTGGCCATTGCCCTGCGGGGCTTTGTATTAAAACAACAGAAACTTCTGTGGGTGAAGGTCAGTGCTCGAGTGCTTGCCTAGTACCCTCCAGGTACTACCCCCCCAAGCAAATCCAACCCAAAGTGAGATCTGCCCCTCCCCCACACATGGGGGGGGAACGCAGTTTGGTAAAAATAAACCTCTCCCTGCCTGAATACCATACGGTGTTCTCCTTATGGGCCACCTGTACACCTACCTATTTCAGGTACCTAATGCCCAGGACACCCCGACTGCTAGGTGGGCCAGCCCAGGGTGTGGCTCACCCTGGAGCCGAGTGATGGTCCTCAGCTCCTGAATTTCTCCCTCCACCTCTGCCTCTCCCTGCAACTTCATGGTGGCCCTGGGGGTTCCTCAGGGCTCTGTGCACCTTCTCCTTCTCAGTGTGTTGCTTGTTCACAGAGCTGACATTCAGATTGTGTCTGGAACCTGGGCCCATTGTGACGGGAGACAGTGTTCTGAATGCCTTGCCCAGGGACCTTGGAACCTTAGCTGCCCACCGCGGTGACTCTCGCCTGGATGCTGACTGTCATGGAAATGAATTCTGTGGTGGCTTCTTGCTGCCCAGGAACCCTGCTGGTTTTCAGGAGCCTCTTGGTAGTGGTGGTGACTTGGAGTGGTTTGGCACACCACTCCACACCTACACCCTGTTCCTCTCTGACCCCCTCTTGTCCCTAGGCCCGCAGAGCTGCTCCCAAGCTTATTACACCTGTCATCACCAGGCAGGACCACCGTGCCACAGCCACGTCCTGAAAGCCCATGCCCGAGACGACCCAGTGGGCACCTCCCACTTCTGCCCCTCACTGTTCCATCTCTTCCATTTCTGACCTGTGCTGCGCCTCCTGGAGCCCAGCCTGCCCACTTTCCACCTGGCTCAGACCCTGGGCTTGGTTCAGTTACTTACCCCACACAGGGTCCACGCCACACCTCTGCACCCCGCTTCTTCCCTTAGAGCAGTGCGCCTAGGGCTTGGGAGATGTCTGTGCCTCTCAGTCCTGGGGCGGAAGGCTGAGGCCAGGGTGGGCTGCGCTGGTGTCTCTCCACAGCGTGCACGCCCCAGCTTCTCCCACCACGCACACAGGCTGGCCCCTCCCTAAGTCCTCAATGGTCGATCTCCTAGACTGTGTGCTGATCTCGTGTGAGGACACCCGGAAGATTGGATTAGCCACTCCTGTGACCTCATTTAACTTCAATCACCCCTTACAGGTCCTGGGGGCTTAGAGCTTCAGCATAAGAATTTGGGGACACAGCTGGGTGCTGGTGGCTCATGGCTTTACTCTGAGCTACTCAGGAGGCTGAGATCTGAGGATCACGGTTCAAAGCCAGCCTGGGCAGGAAAAGCTGTGAGACTTTTTTTTTGTTGTTGTGGAGCTTGAACTGTGGACCTGGGCACTGTCCCTCAGCTCTTCAGCTCAAGGCTAGCGCTCTACCACTTGAGCTATAGCACCACTTCTGGTTTTTCTGGTGGTTTATTGGAGATAGGAGTCTCACGGTCTCTCCTGCCCTGGCTGCCTTTGAACTGCAATCCTCAGATCTCAGCCTCCTGAGTAGCTAGGATTACAGGTGTGAGCCACCAGTGCCCGGCTAGAGCTCCTGAATTTTAGTGGGACACATGGCCGCCCAGAGCAAGGATACCTTCCTGGGTGATCTTACCCGTAGACAGTTCGGCCTAATGTGAACATCAGTGGTGGATTCCATGTCTTCCTCCACCCTCCTCCTTCCTATTAAATGGTAGGAAGACAGTGGCTGGGGTAACTGCAGTCACCTGGAACCATGATGTGGATTTGGGAATGGGGGCCATTACAGCAGGGAACAGACTGAGGAGTCTGAGTTATTGAGCCCACAACTTCCCACACAACCGCTCTCAGCATTTGGCTTACGGAAGAGCCTAATACCTATTGAGCAGTTCGATAACTTATTATAAAGGAACATGATTAAGTTCTTTAGATGTGGGGCTGCAGGGAGGTGATTAGGATTAGATAAAAGTCATCTGTTAAAGCCATGGTTATTGTACGGTCCGCCCTGGGAAGGCAGAGTAGACTCCTCCCTCTTCTTGGCTAAGTCTTCGCCCAGTACCTGCCCATCACCTAGGTAACTGGCACACCCAGAGGCTGTCATCTCCCCCTTCCCCAAGGTCATATTCTCCTTCCGGTGTGGAAAAAGCCCCTGGCCTTGGTAAGTCCTGGCCTGGGGGTGGTTTGACCCTTTTCCAGCCTCCTGGGCTTCGAACTTTACCAGAGGCCAGCCAGTAGTTCAGCAAATAAACTTTTCTCCCTGGCCTGACTACTGCATGGTGTTCTCATTCCTTGGCAATCTGGTCATTTACCTGACAGTTATCAACAAAGTCACAGGGTAAAGTCCCTTTGAAGGAGGGGGAGTGACCAGAGATGTGTGTGCCTCTTTGTGTGTTTGAACCTTTGCAGGAACGGAGACTGAGCCCAGGATTCCATACATGCTGGGCAAATACTGTACCACTCATGACTTTCTCACTCAGAAGAAAGGATGTCATTTATTCACCTCACATCCCCAGTACCCAATGTCCCCTTGAGTCTCGGAGGTTTAGGGGGCTGAAAGGTGACCCTGAGCTCCTGGGACAGTGCAGGAGTCTCCTCCACCTGCAGGCTGCTGCAGGGCCCTTGGCTCACGGTGCTGACCCTGTTTCTTGTCATCTTGGAGTAGAGCTCACCACCCCAACCTTTTCTGAGCCGACTCCTTGGCAGGTCTCAGGTGTGTCAGATCTGGCCGCACATCTGTGCAGGTGGGGGCAAGGTCTGGAATTGGAGGTGCAGAGGGCTGTGTTTCAGGGCTGCCTCTGTCCCAGATCCTCCACATCTCAGCTGGAGTGCGCCTAGCTGCGGCCATCTGTTAAGAGGCAAAGGGTGACAGAGCTGTGTCCATGGTTGCTCAAGGTCCTGCCTCCAGCTCACCATGGGACAAGGGCAAAAGCTTGGTATTGGAGGCTGGGTCCCAGGATCCCGGGCGCTCTTCCTCGAGTGTCCACATGGCTGCTGCGCCCTGCCCACACTTCTCACTGCATTCTTCCCTCTGTCTGGGAGTCTCCTTGACCCCTTAATCTTCCTGAGCTCTGCTGTGCCCATTCCCAACCAGCCCTTTGACTGGGAAGAACAGGTGGGAAGCTTGCCCCCCCCCTCCCCCCAATTCCAGGCACTAGGGCCTAACTGCTCCCTCTCCAGACCACTCACCTGGGCTCTTGTCTTTGGGGAGCTGCCCTGTCTCCAGGAAAAGCCAGAGGTTGCTGCATTTCTGGGTCTCCACTCTTGTCACCCCATAACTTGCCACAGAACCAACAACTGGGGAACAGGAGGCAGAAAGGTGGTGGCTGGGGCTTCAACCTCTCAGAAGGGAAACGGCCGGGGGCCAGCAGCTCATGCCTATCATCCTAGCTACTCAGGAGGCTGAGATCTGAGGATCACGGTTCAATGCCAGCCTGGGCAATAGTCTGTGACACTCTTATCTCCAATAAACCACCAGAAAACCGGAAGTGGCGCTGTAGCTCAAGTGGTAGAGCGCAGCCTTGAGCTGAAGAGCTGAGGGGCAGAGCCCAGGCCCAGAGTTCAGGCCCCACAACCGACAAAAAATAAAAATAAAAAGGGGAACAGGGTGCAGGCTATTTGAGAAGGAATGGTGGGCGGGATTCCATGGGGTTCTTACCCAAATGGGGGTCCCGTGCCAGGAGCAAACTGTGGCATCCCACCCCCGCTAAGGACCCGGTCACCCCGACAACCCGGGTGTGTGTCGGGGCGCAGGCCTCCCCGGGAACGCACCTGCGGCCGCCAGCAGGCTCCACTGCCAGGGGTAGGGGCGCCTGCGCCGGAGGGCCGTCAGCAGGCCGAAGGCGGCACCCGCGCCTGCCGGGAGCCCAGGACTCGGGTCGGCCGGCGCGCGGGGTGCCTGCGGGCCGCCCGTGCGCGCGGGGTGCCTGCGGGCCGCCCGTGCGCGCGGGGTGCCTGCGGGCCGCCCGTGCGCGCGGGGCTGGGAAGCCGGGATGGGAGGGACGGGAGGGATCCCCGCCCTGGGGAGGGGGGAAGGGAACGGGTGGGGCGGTCCCCCCCCCCCCGCTGGGGATCCGGGACGGGAGGGCGGGGCCCCGGGACGGGAGGGGCGGGGCGGACCAGCTACCTGCGAGCAAGGTGAGCACGCCCTTCACGAAGGCGTGGGACTGGCACGCGGCGTACTCCCGGAGCCCCTGGGCCGGAAGGGGCGGGGCTCAGCTCCCGCGCCGTCCCCGCCCCTGCGGGCTCGGAGGCCCCCCCCCCATCCCGGACCCCACAGCGGTCCCCCCTCCGCCCTCCTCCCGGACAGGCCCAGCCCACAGGTCAGCTTCTGAGTCCTCGCCCGACATTCTCACCGGGTGCCTGGCGGCCACGGCGTCATCCACACGGGACAGGCCCAGGTTCACCATGGCGGGCGAATGGGGGAGCCGGCGGGGGGCGGAGCCGGGGCGGGGCTACGGAGGGAGCCTGCGCGGGCGCCGGAGGGGGCGGGACCGGGGCGGGGCTACGGGAGAGCCTGCGGAGCCCCTGGGGGCGGGGCCTGTATGGAGCTGGGCGGGGCCTGTTTGGAGCTGGGCGGGGCTGGGCGGGGCCTGTTTGGAGCTGGGCGGGGCGGGGCGGGGCCTGTTTGGAGCTGGGCGGGGCGGAGCTGGGCGGGGCGGGGCGGGACCTGCGCGGAGCTGGACGGGGCGGGGCGGGACCTGCGCGGAGCTGGGCGGGGCGGGGCCTGCGCGGAGCTGGGCGGGGCGGGGCGGGGCGGAGCGCAGCGCAGCGCGCTGCAGACTGTGTTCTCCCAGCGCCCACGCGGCCTTCTTTCCACCCGAGCCTGAGGCGGGTGTCTTGTGTGTCGGGTCTGGGCTTTGCTCGGCCCTGATGGTCAGGGTTAAGCCTCTTGAAAGCGAATGGGCTGCGGATGCCGCGGTCGACGGGAGTCCACGGGTCTCCTTCCGCGGGCCGGCCCCCTCCCTCCGCCCCTCCTGGCCCAGCGAGTCTCGGCTGGGTGTGTGGTCGGTGAGGGCGGGGCGCCTGCCTGCGGTCCGGGGTCTCCACCGCATCCCCGGGCCTGGGCCTGGCCTTCCTGGCCCAGAGCTGTAGGGCTGCAGCCGCTGCTCAGCCTCTGCCTTTCCGGGGGGTCTCCTTGGTGGGCTTGCATCCTGAGAGTGAACCAGGGGTGGGTCTCAGCCAGCTCTCAGCCCTCTAGGCCTCAGTTTCCTTGCAGGTGTGGATTTCTGCTTGCCTGCAGGGCCATTGTCTGGTCTGGTCCCTGGTCTAGCCTGTCATCCTTGGTCATCTTGGGAGGACCTGCCTGCCTTTCCTGGTGTTCCTAGGCTGTGCCCTGCACTGGCTACTCTGCCCTATGTTTTCCATGCCTGGGGTAACTGTGGAGATCTGTGGTAGAAGGGGCGTTGGCAGAGGCCACCCCAAGTCTCTTGAGGCCTGATGTGCCCCTCTGTTGGTGTCTAGGTGTGTGCAGGGCTGTGGTTGGGGCTGAGCTGGGTTCCCCTTCACATCCCCATTCCTACCAGTCTGCTCCTGGAAGCAGGCTCTGGCAGAAGCTGGCTGCTCCTGTCCTCCCTGGTACTCTGGGAGGTGATCCAGAGGTCAAGGTGATCTTGGGGCCAGCAAGGACGCCCGGGGACCTCCTCCTCCTGTCTGGGCCTCGGTGGCCCTGCCTCCACAAGGCCTTTGAGCGTGTCAGGCGTATGCCCTGCTTTTCATCTTTATTTGTGCCAGCTATGCAGTGACCCTCATGCACTGTGCATGCACTGGACAGATTCCCGGAGGAACAGACAGCAGACAGCACACTGCAGGGCGCATGGGCTTTGGATTTGTGTGGCCTTCTGTCCATGTTCTCACCTGGCCTGGGCATGGGGGGGTCAGGGTGTGGGTGCAAGCAGCCTAGGCTTCCCGGATCTTCATCTCACACACCTTGTAGGAGTAGCGGTGGCCCCTGCCAGTGAGCCAGTTGATGCCATCAGCGTAGCTCTCGTGGGAGCCCGCCAGGTAGCGCCCGTTGAGGTTGGAATGATGGCAGTTGTTGTACCACCAGCCCCCTCGGAACAGAGCGGCACAGTTCTCACTGTGCATGTCGTTGTCCTGGTCCTGGGTTGTGAAGGGCATGTCTTTGTGGTTCGTCAGGGAATCTCCTGGAAAGAAAAGCCCAGCACCTGTCAGCTCCCAGAGCGCAGGCACAGCCCGGCCCTCGCCATGCCCTGCCCAGGGCCTCGCGATTTCTCCAAAACCTACCTGCAGTGCCCCCCAGAAAGTCACCCAGAAGCAGCCTATACTTCTCCTCTTCCCCCGATATCTGGAATTGGCTGTATTTGGCATACACGGCTTCACCTTGAAAACTCTGCAGGTCGATCCTCAGCTCCTGGTTCCCTGGCCACAGCGCAGGAGGAGGGAAGAGAAGGGCTGAGTCCCAGGCGGCAGCGGGGAGGGTGTGCGGAGGCCTGGCTGGCCCGGGTACCATCCTCACCTCTGCTGGTGAGTAGGTGCAGGTAGTCATTGCCCAGCCAGAACTCTGTGTTCTGGTCGCCAAAGCCTCTTTTATAGGATTCCCAGTTCCGGAAGAAATCCACAGAGCCATCCACTCGCCGCTGGAAAACCTGTGGGACTCAGGGACATGAGTTGTGGGTTGCGGGGCCTCCCTCCTCTCAACACAGAGGCACCAGTGGGTGGGAAGTAGGGGTGAAGGGGCCACGGGGCGTGGGCAGGGTCACTGGAGGCTTGAGTGCAGCCGTTACCACTGCTGCGGCCTCACCCCATTCTTGTTCTGCACCCCTCTTCATGGAGGTGGGAGTTCTGGTCGGGGAGGCCCCCCATTTTCTCTCTGTACCCCGCCCCTGCGCTGCCTTCCCGAGTGCTGGCCCGAGGCTCGGTACTCACGGTCCAGCCCCCTCCGTCCACATCCATGTCGCACAGCACCTGCAGTGGCCGGCAGTCCGGGAGGTAGATGGTGTACCAGCCGGTCAGGAAGCCACCCTGGGCCAGCACATCCTTGCAGCTCCGGGCCCCTGTGCCGGGAGGGAGAGGGCAGGGGTGGCCTGCTGGGGGGGTGTGCCGTGTGGGCTCCCCAAGTCCCCGGCTCACCTTCCCGCCGGTGGTGGGGTGGGAGGGCCGGCCGGCCGCTCACCTCTCTGGCACAGTGTGTCCTTCAGCGCTGCCCCTGGGCAGGAGACATGGTATCTTTTTGTTGGTCCCTTCCCCTCCCACCATGCCCCTCCCACTGAACTTCTCACCCAGGTCCCTCCCACTGTCCCCAGCCCCTCCCAACACCCCTCCCACACAGGCCCCTCCCACCATGCCTCTCACCACTCTCACCCAGGCCCCTCCCACCGCCCCTCTCACCCAGGCCGGGCACAGCCATTAGGTCCCCACTAGCATCTGGCCCCTCTGAGGGGTGCTGGTTGCCCCTCCCCGCCTTTAGTCCCTCTGGCTAAAGTGCTGGCCCCAAAACCAGTGTGCCCTGAGGCTCCGTAGCCAGGTCAGCCCAGCTGGGCTGGGGGTGTGAGCAGTCTCCTCAGGCCCCAGGGCCTTCCTGGGGTCCCCTTGTCCTTCCACCCGCACAGGCCCAGGCCAGGGGTGCAGGGCCCTGCCGGGAACCAGCAGCCAGGCTCCTCTGGGAGTCTCAGGTTGGGGTGTCCTCACCCAGCGAGGCTGTAGCTCCACTGTCACCTTTTTCTCCTGGACAGATGCAGGGAATGGAGAGCTAGAGCCTGGACCAAGTCCCCGAGCGCCCCCAGCTCCTCTCCACACCCCACATCAGGGACCCCGCCCTGCAGGGAGCTCCGTCATGCAGGGAAACCGACATGCAGGGAGCTCCGTCATGCAGGGAAACTGACATGCAGGGAGCTCCGTCATGCAGGGAGCTCCGTCATGCAGGGAAACCGTCATGCAGGGAGCTCCGTCATGCAGGGAGCTCTGTCATGCAGGGAAACCGTCATGCAGGGAGCTCTGTCATGCAGGGAGCTCCGTCATGCAGGAGCTCCGTCATGCAGAGAGCTCCATCATGCAGGGAGCTCCGTCATGCAGGGAGCCTGTCATGCAGGGAAACCGACATGCAGGGAGCTCCGTCATGCAGGAGCCTGTCATGCAGGGAGCTCCGTCATGCAGGAGCCTGTCATGCAGGGAGCTCTGTCATGCAAGAGCTCTGTCATGCAGGGAGCTCTGTCATGCAGGGAGCTCTGTCATGCAGGGAGCTCCGTCATGCAGGAGCAGGCAGCCATTAGCTGCTCCCAGAGGTGCACCCTAGGAAGATCTTGGGGTTGCTGCTGGGTCCCCCAAGCCGACCAGATGGGTCCAGGCACTCCCTCTGTCCTCTGAGCAAGGCTAGGGTAGGAGCCACCCCAGACCTCTCACCCAGAGCCCCCACCCCCTCCCAGAGCGGCTCCGTCTGCTCATTCACCTTTGGCTCCTGGGGGCCCCATAGCTCCGGGCTCTCCTGTGGGTGTAAGAGTGTCCTCACAATCAGCCCCCTGAAAGGAAGAGGTGCTCCTCTTCCTACTGCATGTGTGCAAGGGGCGCAGGAAGGGAGGGGGAGAGGGATGAGGAGGGGAGGGGGAAGGGAGGGATGGGAGGAATTCCTGTGTACCCGGCAGTCTGCCCCAGGGTCAGGGTCCACTGAATGCTCCCACGTCCAGCCAGGGGCCCCCTCCTACCTGTGCTGCCAGCCGGCCCCCTCTTCCCCGGGCTGCCCGGGGGTCCCCGGTCTCCTGGAAACACAGACAGCGGAGCACACGGCATCTTTGGGGTGGGCGTGGGGAGGGTTGCGGGAGGGGGGGCTCCCGGATGGAGCCCTCAGACCTCCCCCCTTCCTCTCCCCCCTGGATCTAGACCCTCAGACCCCACCCCTCCACCGCACCCCGGGTCTGGCCCTACCACTCTCGCCAGGGCTGCCTGGCTCCCCTTTGGGCCCTGGTGGGCCAGGAAAGCCAGGGCAAGTTTGGATGATCGCCATCTTGTCCTGGGCCCCCAGACCCATGATCTTCACATCTGCACAAACAAAGAGGGTGGGGCTTCAGGGCAGGGCTGCCCCCTCCCGCACCCCTGTTCCTCAAGCCTTGGTGCCAGTCAGAACACTCCTGAGGGTTCCCGGCTGGTCCACCTGTCAGGCCTGTGTGTGTGTGTGTGTGTGTGTGTGCTTGCGTGCGCGTGCGTGTGTGTGAAAACACATTTGAGCAGCCCCCTCACCTGGACAGGTGCCTCCCTCCTGGCCCAGTGCCTGGGAGGAGCAGAAGCAGAGCAGGTACACAAGGGGCTGCAGGGCAGGGCGCCCCATTCCTCTAGGGAGAGCAGCTGCTCCAGGGTCCAGAGCTCAGTCCTCTGCCCGCTCCGCCTCAGTGAGGAGTGAGCTGGGGCTCTTCCTGCCGGCCGCAGCTGGGGTGGCCTGGTCCACGATCCTCACAGCTCAGCTTCCCCCCCCCCCCCGCCCCCGGAAAGGGAACCCAAGTCCCGGCAGGCACACTTCCTGCCTGTCGCCAGCCGCACCCAGCCCCGCACCCAGTGCCCCCGTGGTAGGGGCCCGAGCAGGGGCCCGAGCAGCCTCCTGTCGTGCACATGGGGGAGAGGTGTCACCGGGGCTCGGACAAGGAATGGCCACAGAGGGGCTGGGCAGGGGCCCCTACTCAGGGTGCAGCGTCGGCTCACTGTGGGGGTCAGGCCTGGTCTGGCGGGGTGGAGATGGCCGTAGCCAGCAAGCATGGAACTCACAGGGGCTGCGTGGCTGGAGTGGTTTGGTGATAGAGGCTGTGTGTGCTTGGTATGGTGGCAGCCCACAGCAGGCCGCTCTGTCTTAGGCCTGGCTGCCCAGCTGCTGCGCCTGGCTGTCCGTCAGCCAGCTGCCTGGGCAGCTGCAGCATCCAGAGCTGCAGGTTGGTGGCTGCTACCCAGGGTGCCCCTCTCCTGCACTCCCGCCCCCAGGGAGGCTGCTGGCACCAGGCGCCAGAGGACGGGTAGTGTCCACCGCCAGCCACACCGCGGGCCTGCCTCTGGTGCCACCTGGGGCTCAGGTTAGAACCAGGTTCCCCCTCCGGAGGGCCCTTACTTGCTGGGCAACCTCTGGCGATTGTCCTTGTCTCCTTGATTTCGTGTTCTCCTCTGTGTGGGAAAGAACAGAAATCACTGCATCTGAATGAACTCTTTGTACCGGAGCCAGCCACCCATCTGCCACTGCCCCAGAGCCCTGGAGCTCCCCACAGCCAACAGTCTCTTATGGAAAAGTTACTGTTTCTTGAGAAGCAGGACTTGCCCATGGCAGATAGATGAGTTGGGATACGCATAAAAGCACAAAAAGCTTGTTCCTTTTTTTTTTTTTTTTTTCTTTTGTGGTACTGCGGTTTGAACTCAGGCCTTTGTGCTGGCTAAGCAGACATCCTACTATTTGATCCACTCTCATTTTGCATAGATCTTGAAAATTCAAGATGGAGTTTTACTCTTTCCCGGGCCTGGCTGGACATCCGTCCCCCATTTGAGCTTCCTTCTCAGCTGCCACGGTGGCTTTCCCCATTACATCTAGCTGTTCTTCTTCCCGTAGCTGGGGAGACAGTGGTGCAACACTGCCTTGCTGTTGGTCCAGATGAAAAGCTTCAAGACTGGCCTGGAACTGTAGTCACCCAGTCCCTGCTTCTCAAACATCTAGGATCACAGGCTGGAGCACTGAGCCAGGTGGTTTGTTCCCACAGTTCTTGCATTGTTTTGGCCAGTACTACTGTTTGATGCTTGGTGGGCAGGCACTCCTGGAGGGCTTAGAGTGTGGCCTCCCAGAAGCCCACCCTGGAAGTATGGGAGGTGTTGTTTCTGGAAGCTCTGGGAGGTGTGCAGGGTTTATGTGTTGTGTCTGGAAGGTCTGGGAGGTGTGCAGGGTTTATGTGTTGTGTCTGGAAGGTCTGGGAGGTGTGCAGGGTTTATGTGTTGTGTCTGGAAGGTCTGGGAGGTGTGCAGGGTGCTGGGCGTTGTTTCTGGACTAGGGTCCCTGGGGTCTTGAGGGGCACAGAGGTTACCTGGGAAGTCCTTCCCCCACTCTAACCTCTTCCAGCCCTGGCGCCTCGCCGGCGTCATTCCCATGGGCACACTTCCTAAACTGGAGATAAGGCGGCCACCGATAACCATAATCCACTCTCAGTGCCGCCCAGCCCCTCCTGCCCAGGTAGGGCTGTGTGGGGACTGTGGAGGCGGGAGGGAGGAGGCCCAGAGGTGTTATGGCTGTGCTGACACAGAACCGGGGCCTGGAGGAGGCCTGGCGGCCTGGCCAGTGGTGACCCCAGCTCCTAGTTGAGGATGAGAGAGAGGAGCCCTGTGTTCTTGGGTCTGGGCGGGGCTGCTGGCCGAGGACAGTCATGCCCGGCTTCTTCCCAGCTGCACCCGGGGCCCGAGATGGTCGCGGCAGAGGGAGACGCAGCTCCTGGGTCCGACGGCAACCCTGCTGGCCAATGCCAGTGTGTGTGGGAGCCGGGCTGTCTGGAGTGCTTCAGGAAGTGACCCCTGGGGTCAGGGGGTACACTTGAATGATTGTGCCAAACAATGGACAAAGCAGGGCTAGGTGTCCAAGGCGCCTTCTGCTTCCTCCCCAACCTGCCCTTCCGGTGAGCCCGGGGCTGGGCCATAAAGCCGAGGCCGCCTGGGCTTGGAGTCTTGGGGTGCTGGGGCTGGAACACAGGTGTGGGAATGGGGCTGGTCCTGCCGTGCTGGGTCCTGGTGCTGCTCTGGGTGTCTGTGGCTCAGGCTGAGGTCTTGGTGCAGCCGGACTTCAATGCCCAAAAGGTACTGGGCTTTGCGCCCTCCGAGCGCCTGTTGGGAGCATGGCCGCCGCCGTGCTGGCCTGGGCGTGGGCCTGGCCGGGGGCAGCTTTAGCACTGCTGTCGTCTGATCCAAAGTGACCCTGGGCGTGGGCGACCGTGGGGCTGGGGCCGTGGGGAAGGAGGTAGAACGGGGCCTCCGTCCGTCTGTCCGTGGGTCCGAGCTGGGGAAGACCACCTCTCGTCCCGGGGGAGGGGGTCTGGCGTCGGCCGCCCGCCTGGCTGGTCACAGAGCTGCCCTGCAGTTCTCAGGCCTCTGGTATGTGGTGGCCATGGCGTCCGACTGCCAAGTCTTCCTGGGCACGAAGGACCATCTACTGATGTCCTCCAGCACCATCAACACCACCGCGGAAGGTGACCTCAGTGCCCACATGGTCTTCCCCGGGTGAGTGTCTGCGGATGGGGCCGGGCGGGGGAGCCCAGAGCGTGGGGGGGGGGGAGGTGGTGGGAGACAAGAGAGGGAGAGGGGGAGAGGGGGAGAGGGGGAGAGGGGGGAGAGGGGGAGAGGCCACGCTGTCTGTGCTCTCCAGGGCGGAAGGCTGCATCCAGGTGGACGCTGACTACCTGAAGGTGGGCTCCGAGGGCCACTTCCAGGTTCCAGGTGGGTCTTGGAGCTGCTCCTCGCGGGGTGAGGGGCTGCCTTTCCGTTGGAGGTCCCCAGCCCTCCCCCTCCCTCCCTCTCTGCCCCTCACTCCCCGGGGCTCGAGGTTGCTCATGGCTGGGTCACAGCACTGGCCACGTCTTCACCCGCTCCTTAGTCTTGCACTACCTGGACGTGCGCGTGGCTGAGACCGACTACAGCTCCTTCGCCGTGCTCTACATCTCCAAGGAGCTTGTGGGGGCTCTCAGCACCACGGTGAAGCTGTACAGTGAGCGCCTCCCCTCCTTCCCCTCCCCCCGCCCCCCTCCCCTGCCCATCCACCGCTCTCCTTCCCTCCCCTGCCTCGCCTGGTTCTTCACCCAGCACTAGCTGCTTTCGTTGCATTTCCGGCTGTCCCAGGTCCTGTACCTTGGGGTCCCCCGCCTGCCCCTCCCTGGCCCTCAGTCAGTCATCAGTCAGGGCCAGCCTGGGTCTGGCAAGGACTGGGGTTGAGGGCCCTGCTGGGACAGACACCTCAGCAACGGGCTCCCTGCTCTGGGGTGAACACCGCTCTTCCGGCCAGCCTCCTGCTGGAGTGGTGGAGAAGACCAAGTGAACATGGGGGAAGGGGGGGAATGGTGTGGAAGCTTCCGGAAAAGGCAGGGGGGTGGTGGTGGTGGAGCAAAGCAAATATAGCCTCGGAGACATCCCGGCCACACCAGCCACTACCAGGACCTCATAGGAACTGGGAGGTCTTCTGGGTGGCTGTGCCCGCTGCCCAGCCTGCCGGCCCCCCTTGGGGAGTGGGGAGTGAGGCCAGGAAACCTCTGGTATCTCCCCCCCTTCCCCCCCCCCCCCCCCCCCGCCCAGGCCGGACTCAGGACCCCACCCCCGAGGCCCTGAGGGCCTTCCGTGACTTCTGCCCCACTGTGGGGCTTCAGGATGACCTGATGATCCTGCTGCCCAAGTCAGGTGTGTGGTCGTGTGGGCGCTGGGTCCCCTGGGGCTGGGTGACCCGTGACCTCTGCTCCTCAGCTTCCCTCCTTCCGCCACCCAGGCCAGGCCGGGGGCCGCGGGAGGGCGCAGGCAGCACAGATGTGTCTTCCCCCCACAGACATGTGCTCCCCCGGGGACGGAGGCACCCTGGCACCCCCAGAGGCCCAGGCCAGCCCCTCCCAGGAGGCCACGGTGAGATCAGTGTCCTGTGCGGGCTGGGCCAGGCTGGCCCTCAACCTACCGTCCTCTCCCCCCTTCTGCCTGGCGAGCCTCTTGGAAGCCCCTCCCGCCCCGCTGGGAAGCCTGCCTTGGTTTTCTGGGGCTAAAGTGCCACAGCCTGAGCCCTTAAACAGCCAGAGTGGTGGACGAGGTGTGAGGGTCACCGGCATGGTGGGGGAAGATTTGTGGGCTTTCCTGGGGTTCCTCCAGATGTTTCTGTAGCCTGCCTTGGTCCTCACTTCCTTTCCCTAATTTCCTACAGTTTGTTTCCTTTCAGGTAAGCTTGAGATTGGCTCATGGCTGCTTTCTTCTCTCGTGGGCTGCCTGCCAGAGGGCCTGGGGGTTTGGGGATGGGTTAACTGCTCATGGATCTAAACAACCCAGTGAACCCTAAGCCTTCCAATATGGTGGTAGGGGGTGGGGGTCGATGTTCGATTACCCTCCTGTTACCTCCACCCCTTTACCCAGGGCTGGGCAGAGCCTGGGGGGCGGAGTTGTCCCTGCCCATCAAGACTGAGGGACTCCTGGGGACGGGTAGGGTCTCTGGGGTGGTAGTGTGGGCGTGGGGTGTTTCCCGGTTTATGGAAGTTCTGGTGGAGAGTCAGCTGTCCGGCCTTGTGCCGTGGCCAGCTTGTGGGGAGCAGCAAGCACCTCTGTCCAGGGTGGATGGCACAGCTGCACCTCCTCTGCGCAGGGTGAGCCCGGAGCCCTAAACCTCACCACCCCCAGCACAGAGTGAGGCCCTCATCCTTGGACCCCCCGAGCCTCCCAGCCCCCACTACAGCCTCCAGCCCGCCGGGCTTCCTCCCGCCCAATAAACAGACTCTGCAGCCGCACAGCCTTTTGTCTTTGTGCAGGGAAATCGCAGGTCCCATCTTGATCCCAGCCCTCCTGGGGAGACTGAGGCAGGGAGGTGGGGGCGAAAGGATCCCTTAGCCCCTTGAGGTTCTTCTGGTCTGGGGGTGGGCAGGAGGCTGCAGCCAGGCCTGGACCGTGTCGGGGGAGAATTGAGCGTCCCTCTGCGGCCCCCAGGTTCCTAGGGCCTCTGGGGAAACTGAGATGCCCTGTGTCACCAGGGCTTTCTGGGGGGCAGGAACTGGATGTAGAGCAGCTGGAGTGGGTCCAGAAGAGTCTGCAGTCCGCCACCCACCCCAGCTGCAACCCGGGCACAGGCGTTAGCTCCAGAAGTAGGCGGCCTACTCCTCTGCCACCACCAGTGGCTCTGTGCTGGCCGGCAGCTCCCCTGTGGCTGCCCATTCCACCCTCTTGTCTAGAGAGAGGCACTGAGGCCTGGGGCCTGGCAGGTTACCAGGACCACCCCGCCGGCAGGGAGCGAGGCTGTGATTGAGCACCAGCGTGTGCGCGTACCCTGCTCCTGATGCGAGGTGGGGTACGGGGCAGACCCTCCCAGGGTCAAGGCCTCTGTGTCCTTGTCCTGGAGACCTTTCTTGTGATGGTCCAGAGCTCACATGCAAAGAGCATGTGGCATCAGAAGGTTCTGGTCTATTGCCTGTGATCCTCAGAAGACCTGAGCTGGAAGCGGTCAGCGCTGAGGGGCCCTGTGCCCTCCCTGTCCTGGGCACACAGGGAGCCACGGACTGCCCTTGTCCTGTGCCCTCCCTGTCTGCCTCTGCTGTCACCCTGCACGCTGGCTCAGCTGGGGATCAGCCAGTCCTCAGCCGGCCTTTCCCTACCTCTTGTGGTGATTCCTCTCGGTCTCCAGCCAGCTCTGGACCCATGTCCTAATGTCCCCTTGCGCCTGCCCAACAGGCCATCTGGGGTCCATCATAGCTTTTCCCCCACCCCCCAGTGAGTAGCATCAGTGACTGGTGGACAGGACCTCTTCTTAAGCCCCTCGGCTGGGACCAGGAACACGGACTGGGCAGGTGTTGCTTCGGGTCCCCGAGGCCCCTCTCAACATGTGGCAGCTGTTCCCTGCTGTGTGAGCTCCCTGGGAGCTGGATCCCGGGTCCCAGGGCGTCTGTGTCCCCCAGGTCACCGCTGAGCTGATCACCTCCCCGGGCCCTGGGAGGAAGGCTTCTCATCCGGGCACCCCAGGACTCTTTGCCCTTTTTCATTTGTAGGGAATTGGAGGAAGTGAGTGTGGGAAGATGAAAGGGAAATATTATTTTTTAAACTTCTTTCCAGAAGGCAATGTCATAAATAAAGTTGTTTTTGAAAATAAAAATTGTCTGTCTTAAGAAATAGTCTTCATGGCTGGGCGCCGGTGGCTCATGCCTGTAACCCTAGCAGCTCAGGAGGCTGAGATCTGAGGATCGCTGTTTGAAAGTCTGTGAGACTCTATCTGCAATTAACCATCAAAAAGCTGGGAGTGGAAGCTGTGGTTCAAGTGGTAGAGTGCTAGCCTAGAGCAAAAAGTGCTCAAGCACAGTGCCCAGACCCCGAGTTCAAGACCCAGGATGCACGCGCGCGCACACACACACACACACACACGTCTGATCTGAGAGGTGCTAGCTTGCTTGGTGAATTTGAGGGCTGCCATGCTGTCCAAGGCTGCTAGATGTGTGGGGTCAGGAGGGGTCACGGGAAGGCTTGCCTCTGTTGCTGAGGTGGGGAGTTGGGGTGCGAGCGGCCCCACCCCATCCCACTGTTGTCCACACAACGAAAGTGCCAGGTACAGCTGCCATCTAGCCGAGGTGGCCCATCAGCCTGGGACCTTCAGCCCTAAGAAAGCAGGCCCAGGCTCCTGGGTCTGCATTTCCCCCTGATATAATCATGGGCTCTGGTGGGTTTAAAGCTGGTGGGTGCAGGGCAGGCGCGGGTGGTGAGAGATGCCGCCGCAGTGTCCTGGCCATGGTCCTCCCCTGTGGTCCTCCCCGCTCCGGCTCCAGGACGCTGCTGACACCCTGCGTCCCTGCAGGTGTGACCCCAAGAGTCTGCTTACCCCAGGCCGGCTGGTTCCTCATGAGCACTCTGTTGCTGTCCAGCTCACAAAGCCCAAGACAGAAAAGTAGTGAGCTCAGAAAGACTTTCCAGGGAAATGAGCTTTTCCTCCCAAGCCCCACTGCCTGGCTGGCCTCACACACAAGCTGCACCTGGACGCTTCCCTACCAGTGCCATTCCCAGACTGCTGCCCCAGGCCCCCTGTCCTCCCCGGACCTCTGTCCCCCCAGACCTCCTGTCCTCCCCAGACCCCCGTCCCCCCAGACCTCCGTCCTCCCCAGACCCCCCATTCCCCCAGACCCCCGTCCTCCCCAGACCCCCCATCCCCCCAGACCCCCGTCCTCCCCAGACTCCCGTCCCCCTAGACCCCCATCCTCCCCAGACCCCTGTCCTCCCCAGACCCCTGTCCTCCCCAGACCCCCCATCCCCTCAGACTCCCCAGTCCCCCAAGTCCCCTCCTCCCCGGCCCCCATCCCCCTCAGCATACAAGGGCAGGGACAGGGTGGAGTGAGACCCTTCAGACATGGCTTTTGGGGTTATTCCTTGCCCTTGGGGTGTCTGTATCTGCATAAAGTTCCTCCACACTGCTGCTGGCTCCAGAAGGCCCCAGGGAGGTCGACGCGCGGGCCCGGTCCGCCGCACTGCGCCGTCCTGAGGCTCCCGTGGGGCCTTCCTTGGGTTCAGGTACTTCTGCAGGCTTGCCGGGGTGGGGCTTGGTCCCACTGGGGGTGGGGGGACACCTCTGTGCTTTCTGAGTACTCTGTGTTGAAGGTGTCTCCCTGGAAGGTTCCCACCCGAGGGCCCTGTCCAGCTCTGGACCTGGCGGGCTGCCCACCCCTAGTTCTGGGCCCCATGGCTCCTGCTGGCAGCAGGGCTGTCTGGTCCTGTTTCTGGGGGCTGGAGCAGCCTAGGCTGGTGAGAGGCAGCATGGGCTGCGCGGCAGCATGCGGAGGGGTTATGGGGCTTGCTGGGGAGGAAGGCTGTCTGCGAGGGCCAGCAATGGGGGCTGAGCCTCCAGGCTAGACATGGCCTCACCACTGCCCTTCGGGGCCGCTTGCCCGTCGCCGTTTCTTTTCACCATAGTCCTGGCGCGGAGTTCCCACTGGACAGATGGGTTCCTGAAGCTCAGAGCGGCCAGCCAGTGGCCCCGAGTGCCAGGGCGGGTCCACACATGGGTGCCCTGCCCGCGCGGCAGCCCGGAGCCAGCCCAGGCTGATGCCCAGGGGGCCCTGCGGGGCCTGACTGGGCGGGGTGGGGACGGCCACCTGTGAACAGGACCCCACGCAGACCGAAGCGGGGGTGCTCTGCGCAGAGGCCCGCAGAGTCCCACAGGCACCAATGGGGCATGCAGCCTGACTGAGAACTCCCAGTGCCCGGGCGACGAGCCCGCGTCCTCGGCCTACGGACGCCACTGACGAGTGTAGGCCCTGAGACCCCACTGCTAGTGCGTGCAGGGCAGGACAGGCGGGCGTAGCGCAGGCCCAGAACTTGAAGAAAGGCCTAGATCTTGGCACAGCCTCCTCCCCATCCCCCACCCCGGCCATTTAGGCCCCAGAAAACAATTGTGTGCAATTTGTGGCCAGGGAAGGGGGCTGGCATCAGTGGGCCTAAGATGGCCCCTGGGAGGCTGGTCATCTGGCCATTTGCTGACCTTCTGAGTACTGAGCCGCGCAGCAGCGGGACCAGAGGGGCCAGGAGGTGCTGGTGCTCTCCTTGCTGCTCTCAGACTCAGCCACGCTTGACGCTGATGTCCTCCCTGTTCCAGGGCCTCGGGCTGCCCGTGCCTCCAGCAGGCCCCCAGGGCTCCGGCAGCGATCAAGGCTTACGGAGGGGCCTCGGTGGGACACAGACCACTGGCAGGGGCCAGCGTGGTCCCCCCACACTTGGCTGGCCCCGGGCAGCGGCAGTGCTGAGGGAGGGGGCATGCACGAGTGGATGGCTGGTAGCAAGACCTGCGGCCGGCTGGAGGTGGTTTCCCCGGGGCCTGGCAAGTGGGTGACACCTGGCTGCTCGGTGTTGCGCTGCCCACCTGTCTGGCAGAGCTTCCTGTGCCCTCTCCGGGCGCCCATGGGGAGAGATATAAAGTCCAGGAGCCCGAGCCAGCGTGTGTGCGTGGCCTCGCTCTGGGCGCCAGTCCCAGGGGTCCGGCGCCGGCACATGAGGGTGAAGGCGCTCCTGGCCCTGCTGGGCCTGTGTGCGGGGCTGGCTGCCCCGACGCAAGGCGCTGTGCCGCAGGACTTCGACTTCACCAAGGTAGCCATGGCGGGGCACTGTCCGGGGCCTGGCTCTGCTCGCGGCCAGCCTGGGGAGGGGTCCGGGACTCCATGCTATGGGCGCCCTGCGCCTCCCCTGGAATTTGCCGGATCTCTGAACCCCCTGGAGGGAGGAGCATGGAGTGGCCCCCCTGGGTCCCTGATTCTGGGTGCTGGTAAACCTGGGTCCCTCCGCCCCCCCCCCCTCCCCCCCCCGTCTCCTAGTTTTCGGGCCTCTGGTACGAGGTTGCCTTCACTTCTAAGGAGGGGGAGCTGGGCCCCCCTCACAAGCTGGAGAAGATGGGGGGTGTGCTGATAAAGGTGGAGGGGAATCGCATCTCCCTGAGCACCACCTACTTCAGGTGAGCAGGGGCCTGGGGTGGGGGCGCCTCTGCCCTCAGGGCCCGACCTCCCCCGCGGACCCCCGCAGTCACCTGGGGCTCAGCTGGGCCAGCCACCAGGCGTCCCTGCTCTGAGACCATGAGAGGTGACAGTCCCTGACTTGATGATGTCAGGGACGGAGGAGAAATCCAGCCAGGCCAGCCCAGGGCGCGCGGGCACACCGGGTGCCGGTGCCAGGTCCCCAGGTGCCAGCGGCCGGTGGATACCCAGGCCTGCCCGCGCGTGTGAGACCACCCTCGGGAGAATGTGTGTGTGTCCCTGTGCCCACCTCAGGGAGAACGTTGGCCAGTCCTGTGTGTGTCCATCCTGGAGGAGGGCTCAGGCCTGTGTGAGGAGAGGCCGGTGGAGCGGGCACGCTTCCCCTCGCTGCTCTGTGGGCCGTCTCCGTCCTACCTGGGGTGTAGGGTTGGGGCGTGTGTGCATTGGTTTCTGGGGTCCCGGGCTCAGCGGACACTAGCACCCCTGCTCCTGGCTGCGCTCTGGACTCCCGGCCTGTCCATTAACTTGTCCAGTGTGGAACATGGGGCCTGGTAGGCGATGGCAGCATTTGGTGGTGCCTCACATTCTTCCCTCCTGCCTCCCTTCCTGCCTCCCTCCCTCCTTCCATCCCTGCCTCCCTCCCTCCCTCCCTCCCTCATTTCCTTCCTGCCTCCCTCCCTCCCTCCCTCACTTCCTTCCTGCCTCCCTCCCTCCCTCCCTCCCTTCCTGCCTGCCTGCCTCCCTCCCTCCCTCCCTTCCTGCCTGCCTCCCTCCCTCCCTCCCTCACTTCCTTCCTGCCTCCCTCCCTCCCTCCCTCCCTCCCTGCTTGCCTCCCTCTCTTTCTCAGAGTCTGACTCTGTAGCTCATACTCACTATGTAGACCACACTGGCCCCAAACTTGTTATGTAGGCCATGCTGCCCTCAAACTTACAATCCTCTTGCCTCAGCCTCCCTGTGCTGGGATTGTGGGTGTGGCTACCACTCCTGGCCTGCCTTCTTGTCTCCCCAGCGAGGAGGGTTGTGTGCTGGAGCAGGTCCGGGCCTTCCCGGGAAATGCTCCGGGGAAGTTCAAAGTCATCAGAAAATCTGGTAAGTGGGTGGAGCGGTGAGCTGTCCCTTTGTTTCCTGGCCAGAGGCAGGAACTATGCCTTCCTGTGAGGACTCACTTCATGGGGTCTCTTCCTGGCCTCTCCACCACCTGGTAACAGGTGCCAAGACAAGACACCAGGAGCCTGGCTGGGCATCCCCATACACTTTCCACGGCCTCTAGGGTTTTCTTTGCTGGGGTCATGGACCTTTTCCCTGAAGCCTTAGAAAGGGTGTGATTCAGTACCCTTTTGTCCCAGTCAGTAGTGTTCCTGGTCCCCCCTTCAGACAGTCCCTCAGACAGTCCCTCAGACAGTCCCTCAGTCCCTCAGACAGTCCCTCAGTCCCTCAGACAGTCCCTCAGACAGTCCCTCAGTCCCTCAGACAGTCCCTCAGACAGTCCCTCAGTCCCTCAGACAGTCCCTAAGTCCCTCAAACAGTCCCTCAGACAGTCCCTCAGTCCCTCAGACAGACAGTCCCTCAGTCCCTTAGACAGTTCCTCAGACAGTCCCTCAGTCCCTCAGACAGTCCCTCAGACAGTCCCTCAGTCCCTCAGACAGTCCCTCAGTCCTTCAGACAGTCCCTCAGACAGTCCCTCAGACAGTCCCTCAGTCCCTCAGACAGTCCCTCAGTCCCTCAGACAGTCCCTCAGACAGTCCCTCAGTCCCTCAGACAGTCCCTCAGTCCCTCAGACAGTCCCTCAGACAGTCCCTCAGACAGTCCCTCAGTCTCTCAGACAGACAGTCCCTCAGTCCCTCAGACAGTCCCTCAGACAGTCCCTCAGTCCCTCAGACAGTCCCTCAGACAGTCCCTCAGACAGTCCCTCAGTCCCTCAGACAGTCCCTCAGTCCCTCAGACAGTCCCTCAGACAGTCCCTCAGACAGTCCCTCAGTCCCTCAGACAGTCCCTCAGTCCCTCAGACAGTCCCTCAGTCCCTCAGACAGTCCCTCAGACAGTCCCTCAGACAGTCCCTCAGTCCCTCAGACAGTCCCTCAGTCCCTCAGACAGTCCCTCAGTCCCTCAGACAGTCCCTCAGACAGTCCCTCAGTCCCTCAGACAGTCCCTCAGACAGTCCCTCAGTCCCTCAGACAGTCCCTCAGTCCCTCAGACAGTCCCTCAGACAGTCCCTCAGACAGTCCCTCAGTCTCTCAGACAGACAGTCCCTCAGTCCCTCAGACAGTCCCTCAGACAGTCCCTCAGTCCCTCAGACAGTCCCTCAGACAGTCCCTCAGACAGTCCCTCAGTCCCTCAGACAGTCCCTCAGTCCCTCAGACAGTCCCTCAGACAGTCCCTCAGACAGTCCCTCAGTCCCTCAGACAGTCCCTCAGTCCCTCAGACAGTCCCTCAGTCCCTCAGACAGTCCCTCAGACAGTCCCTCAGACAGTCCCTCAGTCCCTCAGACAGTCCCTCAGTCCCTCAGACAGCTCTAGGTCTCTCCTCCCATGGGAGGGTGCCCGAGTGCCGGGCGGGGGGGGGGGGGGCACCTGCTTTGGAGCTGGTTCCTCACTTGGTAGAAGATGTTCAGTGTCTGGCTGTCTCATCTCCCAGGAGACAAAGAGATTGAAATCTTGGACACAAACTACAACTCCTACGCCATCATGAACATCTCTCTGCACGTAGCCGGGGAGGTGCGGACGATGATGAAGCTTTACAGTAAGGCTAGGCTGGAGTCATGGGGTGCCACCCCCTCGGTTCCGAATTCCAGCAGCCTGTGAGGACTCCCAGTGCCGAGGGGGACGGGCGGGAGCCCGGGACAGAGCCACCAGCCGCCCAGTCGCCCAGCCCGGCCATCCCTGCCCACAGGCCGGACTCCCGCCCACAACAAGGACTCGCTGAGCAAGTTCCACGAAGTGGCCCAGGAGCGCGGGTTCACAGGCTCAGACGTACACCGGTTTGAGCAGGACTGTGAGTAGGCCCCACTGGGTCACAGCACCCCTCCCCTCAGGCCCCCCAGGGATGGCAGAGCCCTGGCCCACCCGGCCCCGCCCCCATGCCAGCACTTTGCTTTGTCCACAGTGACCTGTCTGTCTGTACTGCAGAAGGTGAGTGCCCCTGCCCCTCCCTCCCTGCACTGCCCTGGGTGGGGGGGGCTCCCCAGCGAGGGGGGGGTCTGTGCTCCTCAGCCTGTGCCCCAGCCCTGGCGGGACCCCAGGGCCCGGCGTCCTGGCCAGGAGGGAGGGCTGCACAGGACCCCAGCAGCGCTGAGCACAGAACTCAACGCCATGGGACCCCAGGTGGCCACGGGGCTCTGGAGGGGGATGTGGAGGCAAGCTGGTGGGGAGGGGAGGGCAGCCGGGTGCTCACTGGTGTGTCCAGGGGGCTGTGTGTGACCGCGGGCCAGCTCTGTCCCTTCAGGTCCTGCCCACCGTGGAGCTAGGGAGACTGTGGCAGGGAGAGCCACATGCAGGCCTCTGGGGTCCCGGAGCCCGCAGGCCACACAGGGCCTGAGTGCCTCCCTCCACGTGCAGGAGCTGGTGTAGAGGACCTCTGGCCCGGGTCTGAGTCTACAGCCTCTGCCCCCGCTCTTCCACACCCTGCCCTGGGGACCACCTGCTCCCGTCCGAATAAACCTGCTGTGCATGCTGTCCTGTGAGCGTCTGTCCTGAGGGAACAGCGGGGGTGGGGACAGCGGGATGGGGACACTGTCCTGAGGGACAGCAGGGGTGGGGACAGCGGGGTGGGATGAGGGACGCTGGGCTGAAGGGCGCTGGGCTGAGGGGACAGCAGGGAGGGGGGCGCTGGGCTGAGGGGACAGCAGGGGGGGCGCTGGGCTGAGGGGACAGCAGGGGGGGGCGCTGGGCTGAGGGGACAGCAGGGGGGGCGCTGGGCTGAGGGGACAGCAGGGGGGGCGCTGGGCTGAGGGCACAGCAGGGAGGGGGGCGCTGGGCTGAGGGGACAGCAGGGAGGGGGGCGCTGGGCTGAGGGACAGCAGGGAGGGGGCGCTGGGCTGAGGGACAGCAGGGAGGGGGGCGCTGGGCTGAGGGACAGCAGGGAGGGGGGCGCTGGGCTGAGGGACAGCAGGGGGGGGCGCTGGGCTGAGGGACAGCGGGGGGGCGCTGGGCTGAGGGGACAGCAGGGAGGGGGGCGCTGGGCTGAGGGGACAGCAGGGAGGGGGGCGCTGGGCTGAGGGCACAGCAGGGAGGGGGGCGCTGGGCTGAGGGGACAGCAGGGAGGGGGGCGCTGGGCTGAGGGGACAGCAGGGGGGGCGCTGGGCTGAGGGACAGCGGGGGGGGCGCTGGGCTGAGGGGACAGCAGGGAGGGGGGCGCTGGGCTGAGGGGACAGCAGGGAGGGGGGCGCTGGGCTGAGGGGACAGCAGGGGGGGCGCTGGGCTGAGGGGACAGCAGGGGGGGCGCTGGGCTGAGGGGACAGCAGGGAGGGGGGCGCTGGGCTGAGGGACAGCAGGGAGGGGGACAGCGGGGTGGGATGAGGGACGCTGGGCTGAAGGGCGCTGGGCTGAGGGGACAGCAGGGAGGGGGGCGCTGGGCTGAGGGGACAGCAGGGGGGGGCGCTGGGCTGAGGGACAGCAGGGGGGGGCGCTGGGCTGAGGGGACAGCAGGGGGGGCGCTGGGCTGAGGGACAGCAGGGGGGGGGGCGCTGGGCTGAGGGGACAGCAGGGGGGGCGCTGGGCTGAGGGGACAGCAGGGGGGGCGCTGGGCTGAGGGGACAGCAGGGGGGGCGCTGGGCTGAGGGGACAGCAGGGAGGGGGGCTGGGCTGAGGGGACAGCAGGGGGGGGACAGCGGGGTGGGATGAGGGACGCTGGGCTGAAGGGTGCTGGGCTGAGGGGACAGCAGGGGGGCGCTGGGCTGAGGGGACAGCAGGGGGGGCGCTGGGCTGAGGGACAGCAGGGGGGGGCGCTGGGCTGAGTGACAGCAGGGGGGGCGCTGGGCTGAGGGGACAGCAGGGGGGGACAGCGGGGTGGGATGAGGGACGCTGGGCTGAAGGGTGCTGGGCTGAGGGGACAGCAGGGAGGGGCGCTGGGCTGAGGGACAGCAGGGAGGGGGGCGCTGGGCTGAGGGGACAGCGGGGGGGGCGCTGGGCTGAGGGGACAGCAGGGAGGGGGGCGCTGGGCTGAGGGGACAGCAGGGAGGGGGGCGCTGGGCTGAGGGGACAGCAGGGAGGGGGGCGCTGGGCTGAGGGGACAGCAGGGGGGGGCGCTGGGCTGAGGGACAGCAGGGGGGGGCGCTGGGCTGAGGGGACAGCAGGGGGGAGACAGCGGGGTGGGATGAGGGACGCTGGGCTGAAGGACGCTGGGCTGAGGGACAGCAGGGGTAGGGGAACACTCAGCTGGATTTTCTGAGTGTTCACTCAGGACAGTGGGCCCTGGACTTCTGCCCCTAGGGTCCCTGCCCAGGCCTGCTTTAGTCAGGCCACCCCAGGCTGTGGGCCGCATGGCCTCACCCCCACCACGGAGCAGTCTCTGTTCTGCTCCAGTAGCCAGAGACAAACCCAGGCAGCCATGAGCAAAGACCCAGTGCAATCTCAGCTGGTCTCGCAAATGAAGGAGGACCATTCCCTGCTCTTTATTTTTAATTAATTAATTAATTAATTGCTGGTGTGGGGCCTGAACTCTGGGCCTGGGCGCTGTCCCTCAGCTCTTCAGCTCAAAGCTAGCGCTCTACCACTTGAGCCACAGCGCCACTTCCGATCTTTTCTGTTTATGTGGTGCTGAGGAATTGAACCCAGGGCCTCATGCATGCAAGGCAAGCGCTCTACCACTGAGCCACCTTCCCAGCCCTTTTTTTTAATGAATTAACGTTATTGTTATTACAGAGGTGATACGCAGAGCGGTTACTGACAGGTGTCAGGCTAGGAGTACATTTCCTTTTATACAGTGTCTTCTGTTCCCTCTCTCCCCCCAGTCCCTCCCGCCCATCTCCACCTGTGAGTTGTTTTTCACTTTCATCACTGTTCAGTCTGCTCCTCTGATGCCGTTGTTCACCCTTTTTCTGGGGTCTTTTATGTTTTTTTGATGACAGTCCTGGAGCTTGGGGCCTACACATTGTCCCTAAGCTTCTGTGCTCAAGGCTAGCATGCTACCACTTGAGCCGCAGCTCCACTTCTGGCTTTTTTTGGGGGAAGGTAGTTTATTGGAAATAAGCATCTCACAGATTTCTCTCCCTGGCTGGCTTCAAACTGTGATCCCAGATCTCAGCCTCCTGAGTAGCTAGGTTACAGGTGTGAGCCTCCGGCACCTGGCCATACCGTACGCTTGCATACATGTTTCTGAGGCTCAGAGACCAAATCTCCCCAGCCACTGTTTTGAAGGATGTTCTAGATGTGGGCGTCCCCTGTGCCCTCCCAGCGTGGAGGCTCCGTGTCTGGCCTCCTCACCCCATGCCTGGCCTGCTCTGCTGTCTGGTTCCCCTGCTTTCTTTCAGCAGTTGGTGCCAGGGCTGGAAGGCCAGGAAGGCTGCCCTCCGGTGTCTGGTTGGTGCACCTGAAAGGCTGTGCCAGGGCTCAGGCTCGTGTTCTTGGCCAAGTCCTGAACGCCCCATGGGGAGAGTCTTTGAGAGGCTGAGTTCTGGCCGCTGAGGGATGCTGTCCCCGGCCTGTGCAGGAAGGCCGGCCTGCAGTGGGACTTCATGTGGGAGCATTGTCTCAGTCTGCCCTGGTTGCTCTGACAAATGCCACCCGCCGGGGTTTAAGCAACAGAGATGGTCTAGAGGTTAGATCTGGGCGCCGTTGCCTGGTGAGGACCCTGCTCCTGCCTCTGGCCAGCAGACGGCTCTCTGTGTTCTAGGAGGAGAGAACAAGAACGTTCTGTGTGGACTCTCCCTGGGGTCTTGACAGGAACCCAGCGCTATTCTCATCCGAGGACCCCTTTTCCAAACAGTGACACTGAGAGGATTTTAACAGGAATTTTAAGAAGAGATTATCCAGTCCAACAAAAGTCTACCATACAGAAGGTGATTGCAGTTGTAACGTCCTTCGCGGTAGTTGTTGGATACACAGAAAGCAGACAAATGCCGCCACAGTCCCTAAGGGACTGGCTACTAAAATCTAGTTTAGGAGGACCTGAAGTTGGATTGAGAGGAGAAAGATCGTAAAGAAGCGTATAAACATCTCGGAAGAAAGGAAAGAGATGCATACTCTGAGAAGGAACGACATGGTAGAAATAAAGAATTGACTAAACATGGAGTAGAATCGACACATGAGCAGTTGGGGGAAGTTCAGCAGGAAGATAGGAACTGTACCACAGCAATGTGGAAATGACAAACCCTAAAAGAACAATAAGCAAAAAATGTTTCCGAAGTGGCGCTGTGGCTCAAGTGGCAGAGCGCTTACCTTGAGCTGAAGAGCTGAGGGACAGTGCCCAGGCCCAGAGTTCAAGCCCATGACCGACAAAAAAAAAAAAGTTTCATGGGTGGACTTAATAGCATATTGGGAATGACAAGAGAAAGTATCTGACTCTGAGGCAGTTTTGTATGAGGAGAGGGGGTGGGTGCCTAACCTCTCATGGTGGGGCTCACAGTGTGTGGGGGCATATCTGACCTCTCCTGGCAGGCAGGGAAAGAGGAAATGAGGGAAGGCATCTTTGCCTTTCCATCTCTTGGGAAAACATTCTTCAAATATCAGGGCAGGGGCCGGGCGTCGGTGGCTCACACCTGTAATCCTAGCTACTCTGGAGGCTGAGATCTGAGGATTGTGGTTCAAAGCCAGCCTGGGCAGAAAAGTCCGTGAGACTCTTATCTCCAATAAACCACCAGAAAACTGGAAGTAGCGCTGTGGCTCAAGTAGTAGAGTGCTCGCCTTGAGCTGAAGAGCGCAGGGACAGCGCCCAAGCCCAGAGTTCAAGACCCACGACTGATCCTCTCCCCGCCCCCCCCAAAAAAAATCAGGGCAAACTAAAGGCATTTTATTTTATTTATTTATTTTTTTAATTTAATTTAATTTTATTTGTGAACATACTG